AGGTTTCCAAAGTGCTAGGCCTGCCACGCGATGTACACCTCCGTCTCAGTCTCTCTCCCTCCCTCCCTCCCCCTCCCTCCCCTCCCCTCCCCTCCTCCTCCCCTCCCCTCCCTCCCTCCCTCCTCCCTCCCTCCCTCCCTCCCTCTCCTCCCTCTCTCTCTCTCTCTCTCTCTCTCTCTCTCTCTCTCTCTCTCTCTCTCTCTCTCTCTCTTTCTCTCTCTCTCTCTCTCTGTCTCTCTCTCTCTCTCTCTCTCCATTTCATCTATCTATCTATCTATCTTATCTTATCTTATCTTATCTTATCTTATCTTATCTTCTTATCTTATCTTATCTTATCTTATCTTATCTTATCTTATCTTATCTTATCTTATCTTATCTATCTATCTATCTATCTATCTATCTATATCTATCTATCTATCTATCTATCTATCTATCTATCTATCTATCTATCTATCTATCTATCTATCTATCTATCTATCTATCTATCTATCTATCTATCTATCTATCTATCTATCTATCTATCTATCTATCTATCTATCTATCTATCTATCTATCTATCTATCTATCTATCTATCTATCTATCTATCTATCTATCTATCTATCTATCTATCTATCTATCTATCTATCTAATCTATCTATCTATCTATCTATCTATCTATCTATCTATCTATCTATCTATCTATCTATCTATCTATCTATCTATCTATCTATCTATCTATCTATCTATCTATCTATCTATCTATCTATCTATCTATCTATCTATTATCTATCTATCTATCTATCTATCTATCTATCTATCTATCTATCTATCTATCTATCTATCTATCTATCTATCTATCTATCTATCTATCTATCTATCTATCTATCTATCTATCTATCTATCTATCTATCTATCTATCTATCTATCTATCTATCTATCTATCTATCTATCTATCTATCTATCTATCTATCTATCTATCTATCTATCTATCTATCTATCTATCTATCTATCTATCTATCTATCTATCTATCTATCTATCTATCTATCTATCTATCTATCTATCTATCTATCTATCTATCTATCTATCTATCTATCTATCTATCTATCTATCTATCTATCTATCTATCTATCTATCTATCTATCTATCTATCTATCTATCTATCTATCTATCTATCTATCTATCTATCTAATCTATCTATCTATCTAATCTAATCTATCTATCTGTCTATATTGCCACGAAAAGTGCTGCGCCTGAAACGAAGTCTGCACTCCACTTTGCGAAGCCACGAAATCTGCACTTGACCTTGCATGGCTGCAAAATGTTGCGCCTGCCATGAAACCTGCACCTCAGGTTGCCAAAGTGCCGCGCCTGCCACGCGATCCGCACCTCCGAAACAGTCTGCGCGGCCGTGCCATTGGAAATTTCAGAGACCGTGCTGACCCCCCGTGGCGAGACGGAAGCAACACCGTGGCGACCCCGTGCGCAAAACAGGGCCACCCGTCGCGTGCTTCGCATGCAGGCAAATCCACTTGTCGTCTTACGGAAGTTTTCTAACTAGACTTCCTTTGACTTCAACAAATGGTGGTTGTACACAAACCCCGAAAATGTTCACCCAAGGGTCCCCAAGCGAAATTCATCTCCACACGTCTCTCTCATAGTTGTGACCTCTTCACATTGCCAGACTTAGCTCACCTTTTTGCAATGTGTCCCTGTTGGTTTTCGCTTACACCCTGGGTCACGCCCGACCCCCCATGTTTTGGTTTCTTCAAAACAGATTCCACTACCACTATTTTGTCGGTGTTCTGTGCTAGTATTCAGCGTGTACCACTGCACAGTGCATATGAGACAGCAAGGCAGGGTTCAAGTAGGGGATTGCCCGGCGCGCTTTGCTCGACGTTGGAGCACGTCTTCTGCCGTGCCTCACGGCATCTGAAAACTGTGCCCATAAAGAAGGCCAAACCCCAAGTCTCCAAGCGAGGTCCCCCGACCATACCATTGAGGCTCATTTGTCAAACCCAGGCAGGCAACATCAGGCAACCTTTTGATTTGCCGTCATTGGCCTCCGAACACGTGTTTCCACGCGGTATTTCCTCACTCACAGCATAGTATACCCTTACTGACACATTTGAAGCATCAAGCCACGGCTTCAGAGAAACGTCACTGGATTTGTCCAAATCATAAGTTGCAATTGACTGGTGGGTTCCGTTGAAACGATCACGACCTGTGAGCGTATCTGGCGGGTCGAAGTCCCCGGTTCGCTCGGCCAGGCGTTCATCACCTTCTTTGACCCGCAACTCGCCAGTACCGCTCTGCTCTTCAACGGCATGAGTCTCTGCGGCCGGAGGCGAGTGCTCTCGCGAACCCGTGTAACGGCGCCCGTGCTTCAGTACGGGGGTGTTGGGATTGCAAACCGGGGGAAAGACCCCTAGTAATCCACCGGGTCTATTCATCCTCTTCCACTACCGTGGATGGAAAAAGCATTGAACCAGTTGGTGTTTTATCACAGTATTCATAGGGGTTCATCCAAACTGGTGCCGGGCTTCTCTCCCAACCGACCAACCATCCAACCAACCAACGAGCAAACAAGCAAGCAGCCAACAAGCGAAGAAACACTCACAAACTCGCAAAGGGATTTTCACCAAGCCCCTGCAATTGGGGTTCCCACATTGCTTCGTTGGTTCTGGGTAGGCCCCCGCAAGCAGCAGGTTCCAAGTGCGACTCAAGTGCGTCCCCCAAAAGGCTGCCCCCCTCAAGCAAGGGACAAAAACCGCCCCCACCCCAAAGGTGTACGAAACCTTCATGGACCCTCCACCCCAACCAACCCTAGGTCGTGGCCCCTCTAGCCTCCTTTTTGCGGGAAAAAAAGAGGCTGGTCATCACCTGGCCCATGGATTACACGCCGCCCCACGACGGCGCTTTGCCGGGCCTCGACGTCGCGCCGCTGCGGCGCCTGGGGATGCTGCCGCAGGACCCAGATGGAGCCGTCGGACCCGTCGTAGCCAGAAATGCCAACGTGTCCGCTTTTGGTGATTTCTTTTGGCCGAGTCAATTGCGGTAGTTAGGTGACTACGGCAAGGGCCTCAATATATGCAGAATGGGGTTCTGGAATCTAGACAACCATTGTCAGGGTCCCTATTAGGAGTTTGATGGCACATTTGGATTTGTGTTGTGTTGGAATCCCCACTTGGCGTTGGGGTTTCGCTCCCATTTTGCAGTCCCCTGATTCTAAGCCACATCTCGCATGAAGTCCCCAGGCGCCTCACAAAGGCGATCACGTTTCTTTTTTCAAAATGAAGCAGTTTAGGTGCCGAAATAAGATGCACAAACCGGGAAAAGGCAGAATGGTTTTCCTTTTCCCTCCGTGGCCAGAAGATGCATGGCCAAGGATCTTGTTTCACGCCCGAAAAGGCATGCCCCATGTAACATGTCCGCAAAGGCAGAAATTGCAGACAGAAGTGTAGGGCTCTAAACGCAAGCATTACGTTGGTATTCCGCCCGCTTCGAAAATGAGTAACAGGATTCGAACAGAGTTTTTGAGCACCTTGAACGTGTCCCACCGAAGGAGTGTTTAGTAGCTGTGTACCTTCCTGCGAAGGGTAGAGGTCTCTTATCTCCATTGAGTCTTAAATGTGAGTTCTCATTTGGTGTTTGGGAGTTCCCAGGATACATGTCAACTCAAAGCCCCCAAAGCAGATGTAGGAACTGGTGAAGGCAGTTTGTGGCACCGGAAACGCCAGGCGCCCAGGGACCGGCGGCCGGATCGGCCGGATCGAGGGCCGGATCTGGGCAAGGCAGCGCGGGCGACGTCCAAGGCGAGGCCGAAGCCGAAGAGCCTTCGGCACATCTTCATTGGCAGCCGGGCCAAACATTGGACCGTTTGGACCGTTTGGACCGTTTGGAGTTTGAGGGAATCTCCGGGAATCCTGGAGGTCGGGACTGGGTGGTGCCAAGTGTCGTCTCCTCTTTGGTCGTTCCCTGACTTGTCTTCTGTGCCCTGACTCGAAGAAGGAGCCGGTTTCTAGGGGGTCATGCCTTCACCTTGGTGCACCCAAAAGGAGGAAGCCCCCTTAACAACGAGAAGTACGCCTCCTGAAGTATTGTTTCTTCGAGGCTATGGGCAGGGGGACCCAAACATGGGGGGTGGGGGGGTTCTGTTGGTTCCCCTTCAAACAAACCTGTTCTTAGGGTACCCAAAAAAGAAAAAGAAAAAGAGCTCTGAATCGACCTGATGTTGAGGCAACATGCCGGAGGGCCAGGATTCCATGCAGGAGGTCAGCGAGTTGGTGACCTGCTTCTGCTCAGAGCTGCCCTCCTTCCGGCAGGAGCTGGGGCCTGCCATGCTGGGTGCAGCGCCGAGAGGCCCGGGAAAAGGCTGCTCTGGGAATGTCTCAAAGTGATGCTCCTTTGGGCGGGAAGAGAAAGAAACCAACCACTTCAGGGGACCCGCCCCTCAAATTTTGAGAACCCCCCCCGGTTTGGTTGCAAATAGATGGGTTCTACTGGTTTCAGTTTGGTTCTACTTATGTACCAAAGGAACCCATCCAGCAGCTGAGTTCTCATGAGCTCATTTGTTAAGACGAGCTCACCCATATTCATTTGGAGTTTCGGATGCACCGTGGAGTTCTGACTTCTCAATTTGTTCAGATGAGCAGCGTTTGACTCACTGGGTCAACTTCTGTCGACATGTTTCCGGGCAGCCTGCCTTTTTCGTTTCCTTGTGACCCCCTTTCCGAACCCAAAACCATGGTGCCTCGTGACACATCTTTTTACCCTGGCATTTCAATGACCAACTAAGCATAATTGCTAAAGATCTATTTGCAGGCCCCGGTTTCTGCAAGTGACCATCAAGCGGGGGATGGGGGGGTTGAATGACAGCCATTGGACGCCCCAAGTTGGGATCGCCGAAAGGGCCATCTTCCACCATGCTCCAAACTATTAAGCCATGAACTGAGGTCAAGGTGACCCTTTTGCTTGGATTCAACGGGACATCACAAGGACCGTGGCTATTGGTGGGGCCTATCCGCAGGGGGTGGCTGGCTGGTGGAGATGCAGAGCCCAGAGCTGGCCATGGAAGCGGCCAGGTGAGGGATGCGCAGTTTCCAGTGTTGAAATGAACTCGAACCACCGGCCAACTGAGTGGAAAACCAATACCGGCAAGACCCCTCAGAAGTCGTGCCAAGGGTTAACCTTACATCTTAGGAGGGTTTATCCTGCAATCGTTTGCCAGCTGGCATGAAGAGGTGACCTATGTGAGCTCGCAGTCTGGTGAACCTGATGCTTGAGTTTCAGGCGAAATGTGCATGCAAGCTTGCAGGGACCATAGCAACCTCAAACCCGCCGGTGAGTTGCCAATCTTCTTGAGCGACCCCCCTCCATCCCCCCCGCCGCCAAGCAATATGAGGACAGGCGAAACACCCTGATCCATTTTGGGGACGGTCCTAGAGGATCTCTCGTGATCTTACTGGTTCAGCTTTTCAAGCATGTGGTTTCCACGGTTCTTCGTGAGTCTTAGGGGACTGGCAAAAGTGTTGTCCTTTATTTCACGAAAGGTAGCCTCAAGGAGGCTTTTCGCTCGCTTCGCTTTACACTTCGGTCCGCTTTGCTCTTGTGTCACTTATACGGTGCTGGGTGTACTTCAGCTTTGCAGCGTTGTCTTTTGTTGGGCTCCATGCGCAACTGAACAGTATTCGATGCAAGTCCCTTCCTTTCTTTTGAGACAGCATTTGGGGAACCACTTTACGACACATTCGGGGGACCACTTTGCTGTATCCCGCCTTTCGTGTCTCCCCTTCTCAAGTCAAATTTGCACCCAGCAGCATGGCTACAAGGGAACCTGAATGCGGGGCGTCCAAGACAACTTTCTCCCGGATTTCTTGGCTCGTGGCAACGTGGCTCGCCAGGTGCCTGCGGGAGGTGATTCTAAGTGGCCGGACACTCTCAGTGTACCTGACCTTCGGCCGAGATTTGGACATCTCGAGCGCGGGTGGCTGAGCTGGCTCGTGGGCAAAATTCGATTAGTGACCTGTCCTTCTACGGCCTTTTTTTCAGGGAGCGGTGTTCCCTTCACAGTGCCATGCTCCGTGGTCATTCCTAATATAGAGATGTCCACATATCCAGTGGGGCCCAAGGTTTCCCTGATAAAAGGCGACATGGGAATCCGCTTTCCCCCCGGCCCGGAGGGCACAGTGCATGATAGATTCTTGCCTTGGGCCAGTCTCGATGTGTCCGCTTGGATCGGCTGTTCTTTCCGCCCGGCGTGAAAGACGGCCCGGCCGATGTCGAGAATGATGGATGCATGCGACGGGGACCTCGAGGATTGAGAAAAAGGGCCGGGGCTGATTGCAGAGCTGATTGCAGGGCCTAAAGTACATGCGGGAATGGGGAGTGTTACAATCACCCAGTTGTTCAGTGGCCCCACTTCCCCCTGCGTTGTCAATAATTATTTGCGAAGCCTTTTTGATCGGAGTGTTTGACAGCGGCCATTCCTTGCCACTCAGTAGCAAATTCCTTGTTGCCCTTAATGTGCGTTGCCTTTCCCTCGTGTTTCCGGTTTGACTCCTTCAACCGAAACAGAGGGGTCTTTCACGGCCCCTGGTTGCATCTAGGACTAAGGTTTCGGGTAGGTTTGGTGGTTGTTGTAAACATAAGCAAACGTGATTGGCTTCTGCACTATTTTGATGGAGCCAAGAGCGCTCCGGACAAAAATCAGCGAGCGATTTGGTCAAACATCCTCGATCGGCTTCATTGAGTTTAGCGTGGGGGCAAACATGTTCTACGTGCGATTTGCTTGGGAACTTTTGTATAGGTCTCCCTGTTGTTTTTCGAGGGAATCTATCACTAGCGGACATATTGTTCCAGGGACGCAAAAGCAAATCGAGGTCACCTATCATTAGACGCTGGGTTTCGGTTTATTTGCGGATTGGAGCCATGGTTTTGATTTTGACAACGCATTCTCGGGCTTCAGCTGGATCACGAGAACCTCATTTGTGGGTTTTCTTTTGGTTTCCCTTTGGACCCACCAATTTGGGTTGGACTACTGAATGTGATGTTCGCGAAAGCCATAAAGTTTCGTCCCAAGGAGATTGATCTAAAACAATCGTGATGTGGGTTCCATGTTCATCACCGGAGTACGTGTTCGTCGCTGAACCTGATTTCGCAGATCCTCTATTTGAAACCTCAGCTGCGGTTATGACCTAGGTGGAACATTCATTCAACCTACTGGTGGTTGAGGGGTATAAACCAGGATGGTAGAAGCGCCAGGCATTGGTTTCTGCACTATTTTGGTGGAGCAAACAGCCTTCCGAAGAAGAACGTCGAGAGATTGGGTCGAACATTCCTCGATCGGTTTCGTTGGGGACAATAATGTTCTACTTCCATTTTAAATTAGCTTAAGAACATGTTTAAATTATTGTCCACTGTTGGTTTTCAAAAAACAACTATCACTACTGGTCTTGCTTTTCCAAGGGGCCAAAAAGCAAATGGAGGCCTACCCTTCCTCAGCATTGTTAGACCCTCGGTTTCGTTTGAGTTGCCACCTTTCAAACTTTGCTGTAGATTGGAGCCATTGATTTTGCTGCCATTGACATAACTCCTCGGCTTCAGCTGAACCATGAGAGAGTCCTGGCATTTGAACCTTTGCACACGGTTGGAGTTGTTCTAAGGCCATTCAAAAGGCCGCATTGTTTATGTCTCAGGCTTGTGCTTGGCAACTCTCAGACACCCAGAAAAAAGGCTTTCCTGCGCCATGAAGATGGATGTTCACTTACCCAGTGGAGATGGTTTTTCTGTAGAAGTCTCGCCGGCTACACCCATCAGCGAGCTGCAGGCTGCAGCGCAGCGGCATTTTCAGCGACGCTTGAAGCTTACTGCGAAAGGCCGGCAGCTCGAACTGACAGCCACACTGGGAGAGGCAGGATTGCAGGATGGGGATATGTTGGCTGCTGTTGTGCAGCTTGGCACACTCGCAGCTACTGACAAGGCATTTGCATTGCATGGCCACGGAGAAACGATTGTGACCTGGGGCGATCCAGGTTTTGGCGGAGACAGCATCCAGGTGCGAGAGCAGCTGAGGAATGTTCAGATCATCCAAGCAACTAGAAGTTCTTGCAGAGGCGCTTTTGCTGCCATTCTTGAATCTGGGGCTGTTGTGACCTGGGGTAATCCGCAAGATGGCGGAGACAGCAGCCAGGTGCAAGAGCAGCTGAGGAACGTAAAGGACATCCAAGCAACTGGCAATGCTTTTGCTGCCATTCTTGAATCTGGGGCTGTTGTGACCTGGGGTAAGCTGGAATTTGGCGGAGACAGCAGCCAGGTGCAAGAGCAGCTGAGGAACGTCCAGCACATCAAAGCAACTGCCTGTGCTTTTGCTGCCATTCTTGAATCTGGGGCTGTTGTGACCTGGGGTAATCCGCAACATGGCGGAGACAGCAGCCAGGTGCAAGAGCAGCTGAGGAACGTCCAGAACATCCAAGCAGCTGCAGTTGCTTTTGCTGCCATTCTCGAATCTGGTGCTGTTGTGACCTGGGGTCATCCACAACTTGGCGGAGACAGCAGCCAGGTGCAAGAGCAGCTGAGAGACGTCCAGCACATCCAAGCAACTGCATATGGTGCTTTTGCTGCCATTCTTGAATCGGGGGTTGTTGTGACCTGGGGTCGCGCAGACTGCGGCGGAGACAGCAGCCAGGTGCAAGAGCAGCTGAGGAACGTCAAGCACATCCAAGCAACTTGCAGTGCGTTTGCTGGCATTCTCGAATCTGGGGCTGTTGTGACCTGGGGTAATCCGCAACATGGCGGAGACAGCAGCGAGGTGGAAGAGCAGCTGAGGAACGTCCAGCACATCCAAGCAACTGACGGTGCTTTTGCTGCAATTCTTGAATCTGGGGCTGTTGTGACCTGGGGTAAGCCGGAATATGGCGGAGACAGCAGGCAGGTGCAAGAGCAGCTGAGGAACGTTCACCACATCAAAGCAACTGCGAATGGTGCTTTTGCTGCCATTCTCGAATCTGGTGCTGTTGTGACCTGGGGTATGCCGGAATATGGCGGAGACAGCAGCCAGGTGCAAGAGCAGCTGAGGGACGTCCAGCACATCCAAGCAACTGACGGTGCTTTTGCTGCCATTCTTGAATCTGGGGCTGTTGTCACCTGGGGTAAGCCGGAATATGGCGGAGACAGCAGCCAGGTGCAAGAGCAGCTGAGAGATACTTGGTGCAAGAGCAGCTGAGCCTTTATTTGGAGCTGATGTCGTCCAGCACATCAGAGCGTGCTGAAAGAAGGGAGCGACATGTATTGCACAGTTGGTTTCGTTGTTCAAAGTGTTGCTTAGAGTTTGGGTTCGGGGTGTATCAGCTGCAATGTAACAATGCACACCAGTGATAGAGCTGAGCGACACTGAGCAATAGTCAATATTCACCATCAGCTACAGTCAATAGCAATCAACGTTGTACGGTAGCCTGGAATGTTGCCGGATGTTGCTTGAAAGGGTGCATCGAGTCTAAAAAGGGACACACTCAAAAATGGTAGAGATCAGCCCCATGAAAATGATAAAGCTGCCTCGGTCAGCATTGGCTCTTGCCCAAAAAAATGTGATCTCCAACGGGGGCGCAAAAGGCACAACTGTAGCAGAAACTGCACCAATTGCGATAGATGAGAGCCCAGTTTAATACTGGTTACATAAACCAATCCCAAGTGCGTGTTCTGGATTGTGTAACTGTCAGTGTGGAGGCCGGGTTCCGTTCGCGGCACAAGGTCCAAAGAAAGGCCAGTGGGTTACTGGATCTACATTTGGAAGGGTCTTGACCTGAGAATGGCTCTTTTGTACTATATTCCCCTGTTGGTGTTGAAGGGACTTTTTCACTGGACATGTCTTCTCAGTTTTTCCAGGCGAAAAAGCACAAGGACCTAAAGTGGTGACCTTGTTGGTGGAGGTGTTCCAGATCCACCAAAAATGATTTCCGTTTTTTGTTTTGTTTTTTTCTCGCATGGCAACTGGGGGTCTGAGAGGGGATGACATGGGGCGAATTTACTCTCCAGACTACCATGAACTGTTATTGTTTTCTCGATTTTCCACGTTCGGTCTACCCCGGCTCATCGCGGACACCTGGTTTCTGTTGGTTTCCAAAGCTTTGGACCACCAATTTGGGTTGGACTGTATGTGATGTACACCAAAGCCATAAAGCTTCGTCCCAAGGAGATTTATCCACAACGATCGTGATGCGGGTTCCATGTTCATCCGCTGGAGTACGTTGTTCGTCGTTTAATTTGATCTTGCAGATCCTCTGTTTCAGCCTCAGCTACGGTCAGAGCCTAGTGGAACATCCATCCAACCTAATGATGTTGGAAGGGTATAAACCAAATTGGTAGAAGCAAAAGTCATTGGCGTCTACGCTATTTTGTTGGAGCAAACAGCACTCCGGAAAAAAAGAAGCAGCGAGCGATATCATGGGTTGAAACTTCCTCGCTCGGTTTCATTGAGTTTTCCACGGGGATATCTTCCTAAGCATCATTAGACCCTCTGATGCCCTTTCGGCCATTCTTGCCACGGGACTTGCGGGTGATGGCAACAGAAGTTTCGGCCTGGCTTCCACTCGGAGATCGATAGCATGTTGGGGTACTTCCCAACCCGGAAGGCGCCCAAAGGGCTATGAGTTCTGACGAGTTTCAACAAGGAGCCCCGCAAAACTGGTTGGGATGCATAAATCCCCTTTTGTAAATGATGTACACCACCGGATTCCAGATTGAAGCTGATACCCAACTGCGGCAAAGACGTGGCGCTGAGACGAAAGCATGTGTTTCCATTCAAGAAATGAGAGCTCCAATTCCTAGTGACACAGGTTTGGACATGGGTTGTGGCCAAGTGGCAGAATGGCGTTTGAATGTTCCGCTTGCAGATGACGCTTGTTTGGGGAATTGTAGTGGCCTGACCAACGGGAAAACCAACGACGCCCAAGTTGAAGTTCCCTTTCTGGGGGGCCCATGTCAGGTCGGCGAATTGGAACTTTACGCGGTCAACTAGCCCCATCAGCCATGACACTGTTGTCAGAGAGACTATTGACCATTTTCAAGGTACCGGCCAAGCTAAACCAGTGGCCTCTCCTTCTGGGTTCTTTTCTATTTCTGGGTTCTTGTCTATGGTCTACAAAAAGGGTTCCAAGTCTTTTCTATTTTTCAGGTCCCCGCCAATCAACCTGCCAGGCTTTGAGCCTCGAGAGCCAACCGGAGTTGTTCAGCAGGCCAGTGACGTGGAACCAAACTCAGAGGAGTTTTGACGTGTGCCCAGGTGATGTTGGCAGAGTCTGGGCATATAAAATTGCGACAGGGTTTTAGTTTGTGACCTCATGCCTAATAATTCCTGTTTGATCCATATCTTATTTCATGGCGAAGACATACGAGGCCCGGATTCCCTGATGAATGCAGGACTTTAGGTTGATCCTGTCGCCGCTCTTTGGTTGCTTTGTGCTGTGTTCCTTTCAAGTGGGGCCATACAAAGAAGGTGGCTTGATTCCCATGACCCATCGAAAGGGCTGTTCCAGTCTCCCTGAACTTTGCAAGGCAGGTTTTCGGGTTTTCCCAACGACTGGGCCAGGAACGTGGCAGTGACAATATACAAAGTTCTCATGCTCGCGACCCCGTACAGCGGCTTGTTGACCCATGCAATGGCTTAGGCTGTTTGCTCTGGGCTTACTGCTCCTCCATAAAATTGGATACAGGCTCGAATCTTACTGGTTGACCACCGGCCCATGAGAGACGGTCCCTGAGCTGTGGCACAAGGTTGTGGGTGCGTGTTTTTGGAGGGTACCCTTTAAAGGGAAGCCCAGCGGAAATCAGATTTTGAGGTTCTATGTCTTGCTTGCTTACATGCTTGCTTGGGCCGGCGGGCGGTTATGTCTAAAAGCTACCTGACTTAGCAAGGCAATGAATCACAATGATCTTGAAAGCGCGGATCCTTCTCAGTTCTTGCTCTCCGCTTCAATCATTGTATGTCCCAACAAAGGTTGTATGTTTACTGAGCCTTGCTGGCGACCACTTGCAACCGTGGTTTTATCGTTCAAGTCCGCACTCCGCTTCGATTTGGACGGCAGGCAGCTACAGTAGTAATGCTGCTGGCCAATCGTTTCAAGTCTTGGACAGGGCACGTTGAGCAGAAAGGCGGAAACAGGAGGGTCAGAGCGTCAATCATTGTTCAAGCCCTTCTGGGTTTGATTCAGTAGACCCTAGGCACAGGCCAACCCCAGAAGCCATTTACGACAATCCAACTTTTGGCTTATTTCTGAATTTCTCCCAACGCCTTTCTGTTTCAAGCGCAGGGACCCTACCTTTAGAGGTGCTCCAAAGTGGGCACTGTTCTTTGGTTTCAGCTTCGGATGGCCGTGCAAGCCTTGCCAGAGCCCTCTGAGAGCCTGTGTGCAATCACAGCAAGATGTTTCCCGCGAATGTAGGCAAAAGTGTGCGGCAAGTACTCATATTTTAGAGGCGTTACTGTACCCCTTTGTCAGAGAAGGATTCAACTAGCATTTGGCATTTATCCTTGTTGGGCTGAGAGCAAGAGAAACCAGTAGCCGAACCAGCATGACCTTGCCTGAATCGCCTGGCCGCTGGCCGCAGGGTGAGTCGGCAACGTGCTTTTGGTAGGCTTGCTGGTATTGTGGCTGGTAGCCGAAGCATGAGATGTCGTTGTGGATGGGGGCTCAGTTTGGCTATATAACTGGATGGTAGTGTTCACTTTGCGGAGGCAGAAATGGCAAGAGAAGCACGGGGCCAGAAGCGGCCTGTGCCATGCCTGGAACTTCGATGGAAGCGCAGCGCGTGCCAGACAAAAAGGTACGACGAACTCCAAGGGCTGCTGGTTGCGTGCCCGAATGGGAGACAGCTGCGCGACGGGGCATTCAAACAAGCACCCTCAGGTAAATGGCCAGATAATGTTTGTTGCGTATGATGAGTGGTAGGAGCCTGCCTTTGTGCACAGACGCATGTCAGTTTGACTCTAAGAATGCGCCTTAGCAGGGTCTCAACAGGCCCAGGAGTAGGGCATGTCATCACAAAAACGCGGGCCCGGGTGGGGAACTAACAGTCGGGTTGCTGCTTGCGGACCCCTGTGTGTGCGTATACCTGTGTGCTTGCGCCGTGTGCTGCCTATAAAATGAACTCTCCCAGAGGAGGGCCCAGAAATTGACCCCCCAACTGACAGCAGCCTGAGGTGAAAGACATTGCGATTGCAAAGTGAAGCACTTGCTCGTCCTGTCACATTTGAGTTCCCCAAAGCACTGTCCGAGGAGAGAATGTCTGGACCAAAAACAGCAGGGTCTTTCAGGAGCAACTCACAGGTTTCCTTTGAGTTGGGTGAAGTTGCCTTTGAGATCAAGAGACACCTCAAAAGGACCTTTTTCCCTGGCCACTTGGCAGCTTGGTTGCAAGCTCTTTCCCAGGAGGACCAACTTCAAACGAGCAGATGCTTTGTTGAAACACCGAGATGGCCCAACCGCAACGCTTCAGAAGAAGTGCGATGTAGTTTACCCACAGTATATATTTGTGTCACGAAATCAAGGTGTGATCCACACTCACTATAGCTCTCAACATGACCTGCTGAAGCTAGCAGGCTATTATTGGCTACTGCCCGCCGGTCTGTATCACAACAGCGAGCACTGATGACAAGCAGCCGCAGTATGTCCCAAGTCATGAGCGCAGGGCAGCCATGATAAGCACACCCACTTCACGTCTCTAGGTATTTGGTGCGGCACCCTCCCACGTGGGAGCCATGGCATGGGCGTACGTATTGATGCCCCTTTGCAGTCACTTTGCACTTGATTCACTTCTGGACATGTTCAACTCTGGGGAAGGACTTGGCGTAGCCTGCACCTCTTTCGCACAAACCCGGCGCCTTTGAGGGTTGTCCTTCGGGACCCTCGTTGTTTTGGTTTGCAAGGTCAACCAAAAGGAAACTCATTCTGGGGGTTCCACATCCCGTTTGAGACGTTCCAAGGTGGACGTGCCTGTGCACAAGGAGAACTTTGTGCATGTGCCCAAGACAGTGGAGAGGAGCCAAAGCCGGGAAGGCATATCGGAGGGCGAATCATGAGTGGTTTACGTTGATTTGTTTATAATAGCTGCTTGAGTACTTGAGCGGACTTGCTCCCAAGAGAAAGTTGGACAGCTAGATGTCACTGGCCAATGAATCCTCACACCCGCACAAAGATGCAAAGGTTCAAGGTTACCTGTTTCAAACAGGCAAACATGGCACGCGCTTTGGGGCAATGAGTTTTTGAATAAATCAATCCCGGGCCGGACCTAGCCGTACATCATGAAGCAAGCAGATTCGAATATGTTTCTCAATCTTGCCAAACAAGACAAAACAAGTGATGCTCGTGCGCTGATGTTTGATGGAGGACTGTCGAAGTGCCACAGATCGAGTATGTGGACGAAGATGTGCAGGTGGGACTGCGAAAGTTGCTCGCTGAGCTTGCTTGTTGAGGGTTTCTCAAACATGCCGCCGGCTTTTTTTGGCGGCCCACAATTACTATAAAAACTTTGATGTTGCTGCGGTGGCAGCAACATTTAAATGCCGCTAGCACAAAGTCGCTGGGGCTCCCATCTCCGCACAACAATCAACCCTGTAGGCCAACGTTCCTTCTCAAGGTGGGCAAGCTCTCTTTCCCTCGAGTCTGAAGGGAGCTGATTGGTGTCCAACGTCCGTCTGAACCCCCCCCCCTTGCGTTTCACACCTGGTCTAGAGAAGCATGTTGCATGACATGTCAAACACAGCTTAGGACCTAATGAGCCCTACTGAGCCCTACTGAGCCCTACTGCTTCAGTTTGAGACTTAAAACCGCAAATCAAACGCACATTGCTCAAGACTTCCAAGAAGCAAGCCGCTAGTTGCGGTGCTCAAGGCCCCAAGGAAACTCTAGACCAAAAATTAAACGCACATTGTTGTCGCTCACCCCAGTTGCTAGCGAGCCAACCATGCATTTCAGACCCTTAGAAACTTGCGTGTTTGACATTCGTTTTGCAGAACCCCGAATGAAACAAAATTGTTTGACATGCATCTTGGTCAAGGCCCCCCAAGAAACATGCACTCACGACATGCACGTGCATTTGTGACATGCATTTTGATCAAGGCCCCAAAAAAGACCAAACAAGTATGCATGTTTAACTTGCATGTTTTAAAAAAGAAACATGCATTTTTCAAACCGTCAGAGCATCCCTTCCTGTGGCTGACTGTGAGTCATAAGCTTAGGTTCCGAATTCTTGACGATGCTTGGATTTCAACCCTCCACTTAGCAGCTCCAAGGTTGTTCAAAGTTAGTTTCAATGGGATAGCACGGGAATCCGCTCCAAAGTGAAAAGCCGTCAGGGACAAAGCCCTGCGCCAGTTAGTACTCATCCATACCAACTCTTGCAGTTTGTTTATCCACAAGGATGGCCACCCGCCCAGGTGCCTGTGCAGCGGCATCGTCATGCACGGGGCCTCGGTGCTTTGAGAGATGTGGCGATTGAGCGAATCCGGGGTTTTCTGGTTTTCACGTTTTTGTGGCTTTGCATTAGTGTTTGGGCCGGATCACAGCGAGATTCCTTTAAGTGGGGTGATGTTCAAGGAGGAAATAGGGAGCCCTGTCCTTGGACCCGGTTGCCCCGTGGGTCCTTTGGCACCTGCTGCAAAGCAGCACGCAGCACTGGGCCGTGCTGGTCCTGCATCGCCCCCCTTTTGCATGGCGTTGAGGGAAATCAAAAAGTAAACCGCCTGAAGGGGTCTCGAATTCTCAAACGCAGTCAGAGGTTGCTGAGTGCACGCAACTGGCCCGGGATTTCACTTGCAGCTTTGCAAGCCATGAATGGGCTCAATAAACTTAACTTCCATGCTCAGGAAGTGTTCGAGATATTTGGAGATGTGTATGAGTGTGGAAGGCACGTGGAAGGCACAGTAAAGAAGTGAACAAAAAAACCGGCAGCTGCATCCGCCATTCCCCAGCTCTGTTTGAGGTGCCGGTGCCGGTGCCAGTGCAGCGAACCGTGGAGGCCGCGGTTTGGGGAAGCCTTGCTATTTGTTCGGTTTCGTGAGAGCCAGCTTGTCGGGGGGTGGATGATTACTCGTATACTCCGATAATTCTGACTAAGTGTAGTTTTGAGCCACCTGGTACTTAGGCCCTAGTACTCATTGCAAGACCTAGACATCTCAGTGACCAAAAGAAAGCACACTTGATTCCATTTGTTCATCACACTACCTATGACAGTATGTTCCTTTCTGGGATTCCATTTGTTGATGACATGACCTATCTACAGTATGTTCCTTCATCGATGTTTTGCACATTTAGGGGGATTGGGGGTTCTCAAAATACCAGCCGTTCTTTTACCCTAAGCAAAATTGGTACGCGCCCGCATTGCATGTTTCTTTGCTCATGAGTCAGAAGGTCTCCTGCATCCTGCATCGTCTTTAGCTGTCAGAAATACATTCTGCTGAAATTCAGTTGGGCCGGAATGTGAATGCTTCGCAATTTCAGCGCACCCTCTCATATGCACGAGGGACGGTACGACTTGCCGCTTCCGTCACATGAGCTCGCGATGTTCTGCCCGAGAAAGTCTTTGAGTCATGAGCCCCTCCATGACACTCGCCAAAACGGTTCTTGTGCCATTCTCAGCCATTGACCAAATAAGAGTCTGGGTTCCTTCCTATTTAGAGAGTTTATAGGTATTCGCAGAATCCTGGAAAGCGACCCCAGGATTCAGGATGGTCCAAAATGCCTGTTGCGAGGCGTCTTTCGGTCCGGTCAAGGGAGTTCTTCCAGCCAGCGTGCTTGCTCCTCTGACGGCCGACTTTAAACTTAGCCATTGCAACAAAACACAACTGCGCTAGCAAGCTCGTTGGAACCTTTCGGAAGATGTCCCACCAGCAAAGAGGTTTATGACCATTTTGCTGTATTGCGGAGCAATACAAAGAAGTTTCAAAATTGGGTTTGTACATAATATAGCCAAAAATATGTTTAAAAAAAAAGGAACAATATTTTATTGGGATTCCCAAAATATAAAAACCCACTGGGAAGAAGCCGCAGGTTCCCGAGGTCCAGTACGTGGACCGATACGTGGAGGTGCCCACTCAGCCGCCTGGACGGAAAAACACACAAAATGCGCGGGTTCCACGGGGACGCGGAGCCGTCCCGGTCAAGGCTGCTTGATTTCAGGGAATCCTTTTTTCGGGTGTGTTTTGAAGCAGGGAAATCGACCATTTTGGGGGTCTACAGAGACAAACCTATGTTTGGACCGTTTTCTAGCAGTGATGCTCGGCTCTTTGGGCGAGGGGCACCTCTGACCTCTCAGGAACCAGGTCATGGTGCCCGAGGCGCGAGCGTCGGTTTGGATGCGTGCCATGGGCTCGCCGGGACTTGAGCCACTCGGATTGCACCGTTGTGACACGCAGGAAGTGCGGCCTTGTGGCTCAAGTGAGTACATCTTTGGTGCAGGTCAGTGGTCAGTAACCCTTTGTGCCCCCCAAATGTGGCTGACCCAATCGCACGCGGTTCATAATTTGGGAGACAGTGACTACGGTGCTGCCTCTTCAACCCTTGCCTTGGCTTTGTCCTTTGGTGCTTGTTGGAGGAGATTCTCGGGGTGTTTATGAAGCGCTTGCTGCAGTCTCGCTTGATACGATACGCTCGTATGTCCTGGCATTTGCTGTTCTCACCTCTATATTTCACACCTTCAGTTTGAGTTAGATTCCACATCACAACAATGTGTTCATGTGTTGCCTGCCCACTGCTGGTTGGGAAGGCCGTCTAATCCTGCAGCCCTGATGTGCTCAAGAGAGGTTGGCGGCATCCGAAAGTTTTTGCAATCTGGTGAAAGCCAAGCCCCAAAGAGCTGCCTATGTTCCCTTACCGATTCAGTCAGCGAAACAAAACATCATATTGATGCCAGCCTCGTGCCACAGCCGCCCAATGGAGGTTAGCAACTGGAGAGGACAGTCGTGGTATGTCCGTGTTTGGGCCTCAGGTCATCCTTCTCGCTTGGCCATTGACATGGCTCAGTCTTCAGACACTGCACATATGGCCATGTTTGTTTCCTTAAAACCCCCCAATCCCACCCCACCCAGCCAAAGCCACTAGAAGCCCAAACACGAACCTTGGTGCGGTTCCTCGGTTCCCTTGGTGAGGCCAACTTGGTGCTTGCTGCGGTTCCCTCCTTCCCTTCCCTACCGGTCCCATCAACTCCGCCAGGTGCGGAAGGTGCAGAAATCCATCGAGGCGTTGGGACTCTGTGGGCGATGAATTCTTAGTTTGTGTGCGAAACTAGTTGGGGACCCCTACCTGTTTGTTGTTTGGGAAACATGTTTTTTTACATGTTTGCTTATTGTAGTGGTTGAAATCCCCACTGAACTGCTGAAGTGTCAATGTTTGCTCCCCTTCCAACGTCAACCAAGCTAAAGGGTGCTCTTGAAAACGTTCCCTAACATTCATTCCCATACTAAAATAGTTCAATGTAGAGAGTGGTTGGCTACCTCCCGCCAATCGGTTGTTAACCCAATTTGTCAATAGCCTGCCCCCATCCCCGAAAGACTAGCAAGTTCATTGGTTTTCGGGATGGTCCCAGCCAAAGCCAATTTGGGCCCATGATTATAGCTTGGTACTGTTTTTTTTATTGGGACCGTGATTGCACCCAATTCTGTTTTGTCATCCTTCAGCTGTCCATACATGTCGCTGCCTTGCGTTTGTCATTGGCTACGAAGCGATCTGTGCCATTGGGATGTATGTGGAACTGAGCAGGCTTTGAGAGTCTGGATTCTGCTGCTCGCTCGGGACCTGTTTTCCTCTCCGCTTCGGGGTGGAATCCTGGGGAGCGGTGTTGCTGTGTTCCGAAGTCGTGGACACAAGCTGCCCCCGCTTTGACCCATGGCATGCCCCAAAAGCCTGACTTGGTGCCCCCACAAGAGGGGCAACAGTAGCTTGCTTCGAGCGGCAAAACTGTTCTCCACGCAAGTGAGATCACTGGTCTTATGTTGGCCTCTGATTCATGAACGTTGCTTAGTTCGTCAAAGGGCAGACCCCAAGGAGATCGGAATGCAGGCCATGAAAGGGCAACCGGAGAAAAGTCAGCCAGGCGTCCATTCCTCAGAAGTCGGCGGGTTTCAGTAGTGGCATTTGCTTGCTCCTTGATCCGAATTTCCCTGCCTGGGGTGGAGTTGGGATACGTGGTTTGCAATTCACCAACAGCGAATGTGAAGCTAACACAAGAAGCCTCATTTGTCTTGTCATGACAGGGCCTGACTCCGATTCGCTGTGAAGTTGATAAGGAGCACCCAATGATGTGCCTTTCCAGGGGGGTGCCAGGTCTCAAATGTCGAAGGATGGGGGCACGTGAGTCACTAGAGTGGGACGCGAGAAACTGGCATTGGATGCTGCTTGAAGCGAAGTCAAAAGGAGACCGCTCATGTAGCTGCTTCTCTTATATGGAAATCCCTGCAGGGCCTGTTCTTTCGACCTCCGTTTGCCTTCTGGGCACAAAGTCCAAAAAGGCGAGATTGAGGTCCGAAACCAGCTCTGGGGTTGGCGAAACAGGGTCCCTGCCAGGTGCCGAAGATCGAGTACGAAGATGTCCTGGCACCTGACTCGATTCACTCACGTTAATGATTCAACAGAAAGACGATCACAATTGTCGGAGCAGTGGTGAAGGTTTTTTTCGTTGTTGTTCCCTTCCCATGTACTGTGAGCCAGCTTTATTGCAGTGATGCGGTGTTATTTTTCTCTTAGCATTGCCATGCACCCTGCTTTCTTGGGGGAGCCAATCCCTTATTTTAACATCCCTAGAGTATTTCTCCAAAACGTACCATTTTGATAGCACTCGGACTGTCGACTGTTTCTGGGCATTGCCGAGCTGGTATGGATTCTGTATTGGACCAGTGATTACCCAATTGTCACACCCACACATGCATAGGGTTTACATGCAGTTCAGCCCCAAGTATTTCAAGTTTTGCGGCACAGTGATTGTTCATTGAACTGACCACTGTGGGACTATCCCCTGACTTTGAAAGCTACCTGGGAAATCTAGAGTTCGCCAGCATGTTTGTTGGACTTATCAGGCAGTGATTGTTGTTGGGCAACTTGTAGCGACATCACAAAGGTTGCTTGATCTGTGACCTCGCGTTCTTTTCTTGGCATTCCCAGATATTTGAGGTACACGTGCCGGTGCAGAAGCAAAGGCATGTGCCTATGCTGCAGGCGGGAGGGATGGGCTTCCCTCTCGCGGGCAGTGACCCCGCGTGGCAGGCCCAATGGCCAGGTGTATTGATTTACAGTAGGCGGGGGGGACAGATATCATGAATGTGGGCAAAACGTCGTGACCTCACAACGGGTTTTGCTTTGCGATCTCACCCATGAGGTTCCCATGAAGATCCCGATTTCGGTGTGCTGAAGTGTTGCAACTTACCCAGATGATTCATTCCACAAACTCTACAGATTGCCTGGTACAAAAAGCAAGCGAAGTTTGCAACAGTGCTTAGTTAGAGTACGCTGGCTTCGGGTCTCCACAACTCATGTTGCATCAGGGCATCTGGAAGTATCTGAAATATCCCTTCTCCGGCGCACAGGAAGTGGATACTGGAAATATGTTCTTCAAACAAGATACGGCATACGACAAGGTGGTGAAAAGGCTTGGGTCATTTGTCAGCTGGGTCGCTAACGGTGAGCTTACAGCGGAGGGAAGGCAAGAGAATGCATTGTCTACCTGGTCTTGACTTCTGTTTGTGATTGGTGGGCTGGTTTGAGAGATACGCATGGTTTTTGGCAGCAGTCGTGATGCTCAGTGTTAAGGCAGTCTTTTGCCGGAGCCATGTGCACGCCAGGAAGGTGTGGGGTGGTCAGCCTTGCTACATCAGAAAGAAGAAAGCAACAACTCAATGGCGTTCCCAGGTATCAGATGTGTGGGTATGGAGTTGGCGTACGACAAGCTGTTGTATTTTTGTTGAAACCGAAAAAGAGAGGGACAGCCCTCCATACCTCCAACTCCCTTGCCTTGAAAAGCCAGGGACTCTTGCTTGCCAGGTGGTGCAGAAGACCGTGGAGGCACGCAGGGAAGGGGTGTCTTTCTTGTCAGTGACAGGCGGTGGGGCATTTTTTAGCACACACCTGAAGCCAAGAACGAAACCCGGATCTCGGACGCACCAAACCTTCGACGTCAATGCTGATATGAAACCCTGGAATCCTAATGCAAAACACACACAGAGAAACACCAATGTCTCAAAAACGCTACCAGCTGAACAGAGCGCAGTGAATTTAGTGGGTTGGAGGCTGGCGTTTTGGGGGAGGCCTAGTGGTTGGTAGGATGTCCCATTCAAACCAGCACTTAGCAACCCGCAAACCAACCCGAAGCACCAGTAGTCGCCTGATTGATGTTATTGCTGATGGCAGGTTTGCTCGAAACAACCCTCACATGGAAGCTGCCCACTCTGAATTCAATGCACCGTACCTTTGAGCTTCTCGCAGCTCCAGTGAACAGGCGAGGATTAATGTAGTTTGCTGGAGCATCTCCATCAGTTGAGTCACGGCATCGACTGCGGTTTGAAAGGAGGACTTGGAGTGCCGTGTTTGCCATTTCGGGGCCTGTACGTGCCTCTCGCGCAAGCATGCAGAAGGGTTGTACACTCGATGATCGATCAGAGATAGAGAGGTGCAATCCCGTGGTGTACAGCTGCTTGAGAGTACCATATTCAAGCCGCAGTGCAAAAGGAAGGCTGCGGACAGACAGTTTGTCCCGTGCGCGGTTGAACCCAATGCATGTCATGTCTATGTGCGATCCGCACTGTTTTGCCTATTCACAACGTCTATCCGAAGACAGGGCCCGCTCAAACAGAACACAAAAGACCAAATGCTTGGACTAGACGATCCCCTGAATTCTTGCGACCCCCATGTAACCTTTACAGCTGTTGTTTTCTTCTTTTTGTTCCTCGTTGTTTTTCGACCTCCATTGTACAGCTTGTGGTTGGAAAAGCGAGGTCAGCAAAATGGGCCAAAGCAAAGGATTCACTTGCAGCCCCGCGCCGAAACCTTCCGCGCGAATCGAATCCGCCAGGTCCCTGAAGTCGTCTACCAGGCGTGCGAGCGACGTGGCCCGGCGTGGGTGTCCCAAAAGTGGCAGAGAACGTGGGGAAAAGCTGGCTGAAAGGCCTGCAAGAATAAGGGACATGGGTGAGCATCTCTTTTTCCGTAGCCGACTCTTGTGTTTTCAAGCAGTAAATTTCGGTTGGCGAGAGGTGCTGCCAATTTCGCTGCGTAATTGCTCTGAAGAGAAGTGTTGGCCCTAGAGACCTGGGAGAAGCTCAACTACCTCTGTCGCATTTGGGGCCTGGCTACACTTGTCAGAAGACGACTGTTTCATCTCTTGGAGCTCAAGTGCCTTCATCTAGTCATCCTTCTTTTGGGATTGTGGTGATATGACCAACAAGGATCCAACTTGGTGGGAGCTCCTGGAGGTGGAGGGAGGGGTGAAGAAAATATGGATTACCCTACACTGTGCCTCAGTCACGGATTTCAAATAGCATGGAAGTAAACGATGTAAAATGCACGTGAGCCGCGCTCAAACCCCCCATAAACAATGTTTGTAGATGGATCTAATACCTGGTTTCATAAGAGATCACGGTGAGAGTGAGGACTATACACACCTTGTATGGTCATGTTGGTAAAGCCAAAGGTCTACGAGTGTTGGGCGCTGCTGAGACTGCGGTTGGGAAATGGGTTTGGTTAACAGTTTCCCTAGTCTATCTTCAAGAATCCAGGGAACGAACCCTAGATTTCCCATGTTCTGCCGGGGAGAGAAGTCAAATTTATTGTGCATCAGCTGTTGAATTTGGAGTGCCTTTTCCAGGACAAAGTGGTGGAGATCCCGGTGCGGAAGATGGTCGTCGTCCCTCAGGCAATCGTCCGACTTGGATCACTGGGATTAAAGGAGGCCTTTACGCGAGAGGGATGGATTGGGCAGGGACTGGGGACACATGTTGTCCTATAGAATAGAGATTTCTGGTCCGGTTTGTATGTATATATATATATATACTACACATCTGGACTGTGGACCACATCGAAAACCGCCAACAGGCAGTTTTCTGCGGGTCCCCTCTGCCTGAAAGCTTTCAACTTATTTTAATTGGTGCAGTCTCAAGCACTTTCTAGTTTGCTTCAGGCTCTCGCCTGAGGCAGGAAGTGAAATACTCGAGGTTGCCAGGGTTGGACGTCAGGCAGAATTGCAAGGTTCAAGATGGACTCCCAGGTTCCAGCTATCAGCCATGGGGATATGTTCAGGGGACCGTGCTTCTCAAACACGCAGAGACCAAGTTGACGGAACGATTCTAGGGAGGATGTGCCCAGCGGCTTCAAAGAATTCCAAGGGAGCACTTGGTGACAGGGCTTGAGCTCCAGTATCCCTACACCAGCTGGCGCATGCACCCTACAGTTGCAAGTTGATACAAGGCAGGAAGGTGCATGACGTAATCCTTGCTCCGGTGCTGAGCGCTGTGTGTGAGAAACTTCTTGGCCCTCGGATTTGTTCCCCCAACACGGATTGCTTCTAAACCCGTGGACAACTATAAATGCACCTCTATGCGGAGGCGCGTCGAGGCCTTGTGTTCATTCGATGTGAAATGGAGAAGGGCTTTCTCCGCCAGACCCGAAAGGTTGTGCTGCTGAATACCGTGGAACTGTTCGGATTCTTTTTTTTCCCAAACAGCTGAAAGTGCAGGGGAGCTCTGGAGTCAGGTTCCAGCAAGGTTCCGGAGATTCCGGGTTGGTTTTGCGCACGCCAGGTGCAAGGTTCAAAGGTTCAAGCAAGGTTCCGCAAAATCCAAGCAATGGTTCCAAAGGTTCTGGGTGGTCTGGCGCAGGGCAGGTGTAAGGTTCATTTGGCGCAGGCGGGGTGTACGGTTCAAGGAAGGTTCCGGAGCTTCCGGGTGGTGGGGTGGTCTGCAGCAGGGTTCGAGCAAGGTTCTTCCGGAGGAGTTAGGGTGGACTAGCACAGTGAGGTTCAAGCAAGGTTCAGGGCGGAGGTTTGCGGGTGGTCTGGCGCAGGCCAGAAGGTTCCTGGCGCGCCAGGTGTAAGGTTCAAGGAAGGATCTGAAGGTTCTGGCGCACGCGCGCGTAAGGTTCAAGCAAGATTCTGGAGGCTCCGGTTGGTCTGTCGCAGGTTCAGGAAGGCTCTGGTTCCGGGGTGGTCTGGTGCAGGCCAGGTGTAAGGTTCAAGGAAAGTTCCGGGCGCAGGCCAGGTTTAAAGAACGGTGCGTAAGGCAAGCAAGCGTCTGGTGAAATGTGCTTGCTTTTTTTCCGCATCTAATTGTTGTTGGGGGTATCACCTGATTTATCTCTTCTCCTGTCGTTGTTTGTGGCCCACCTCCAAGTCAAATACTCAGATCACAAGTTCCACGTGTTCAAAGTTTCTGTTCTTTTTCTCCTGTCGTTGTTTGCGGCCCATCTCCGAGTCAATTTCTCAGATCACATAGATACGTTGTTCCGCGAACTCCATGCTTCTTTTGTTTTCTCCCGTCGTTGTTTTGGGCCCACCTCCAAGTCAAATTCTCAGATTGCATAGTTCGGCGTGCTCGATGTTTCTTTTCTGTTCTCCTGTCGTTGTTGTGGGCCCACCTCCACGTCAAATTAGTTCTACGTGTTCAATGCTTCTGTTCTTTTCTCCTGTCGGTGTGGATGGCCGACCTCCAAGTCAAATTCTCAGATCACATAGTTACATAGTTCCATGTGTTCAATGCTTCTTGTCGTTTCTTTTGTCGTTGCTTTAGGCCCACCTCCAAGTAAAATTCTCAGATCACATAGTTCCACGTGTTCAATGTTTCTTTTCTTTTCTCCCCTCCAAGTCAATCTAGCAGATCGCATAGTTTCACGTGGTCAATGCTTCTATTCTTTTCTCCTGTCTAGCTTTGGGCCCACCTTCAAGTCAAACCCTCAGATCACACAGTTTCATAGTTCCACGTGTTCCATGTTTTTCTCTTTTCTCCTGTGGTTGTTTGGGGCCGACCTCCAAGTCAAACTCTCAAATCACATAGCTCCACGTGTGCAATGCTTCTGTTCTTTTCTCGTGTCGCTATTTTAAGCCCCCTCCAAGTCAAGCTCTCAGATCACGCGGTTGTACGTGTTCAATGCTTCCGTTCTTTTCTCCTGTCTTTGCTTTGGTCGCACTTCCAAGTCAATCTCTCAGATCACACGGTTCCACGACGTGTTCAACGCTTCTTTTCTTTTCTACTGTCGATGCTTTCGGCCCATCTCCAAGTCAATTCTAAGATCACATAGTTCCACGTGTTCGATGCTTCTGTTCTTTTCTCCTGTCGTTGTTTTGGCCCCACCTCCAAGTCAAACTCTCAAATCACACAGTCGCATGCTCCTTTTTCCCCAAGAGCTGATAGTTAAGGGATCTCAGCCCAGATACGGTTTGGGGGTAGTCCCGGGCAGCTCTGGAGTCAGGTTCGAGCAAGGTTCCGGGGTTTGGGGGTAGTCCGGGCAGCTTTTGAGTCAGGTTCGAGCAAGGTTCCGGAGGTTCCTGGGTGGTCCGGCGAGACTGAGCTTATGATCGGCCAAGAAATGTTGGATGTGCGCCTTCTGGATCCTTGTTGCATGGAGCTAAAAGTTGGTACCTAACCCCTCTCGGTATCGGCACCCCTTTCGGTGAATTAAGTTAACAATGGGCCAGATCCCTCGGCAGCCATGTGAATCTGCGTCAATCACACTGGGAACACCGTTTGGCCAAAGCCTCTTGTTGCGTGCCCCTCCCTGCAGCATATGTGTAGGTCATCAAGACCCAGAGGAAAGTGGAGGTGGAGAAGATCGAGTTCATCGACGAAGTTGCAGCCTGGCTATCATCAGGATCGAGAGAGGCACCAAATTTCGTGTGTATTTTGCAAATATTGAACCAAGGTTCAATTTGTAGTATTGAAATGAGTGGATGTGCAAGCGCCAGCTGAACACAAACTGGAATTGGTCGGCCTTTGGTTGTTCATCAACCCAATGCGTACAGTTCATGCTGTATATTCATGCACTGATTCTTGGAGTCTGAAGCAAGAGAACAGCTACAAAGGGGCCTCGACGCTGGCCATAATTTATCTTCCTTTCTGAATAGAGAATGCGTTCCTTTCACATGGCTTTCTTGAATCCTGCAGCTTTCCTCGCTCAACAATTAGCCTTAAGAGTGGTTTAGCTTGGCGATTCGCAAGTTGATGTTACTTGTCGCCAACATTTTGCTGGATTGCACTGGTCAACCTGTAAAAAACGGTAGACAACCCTCGCCCCTAAAAGGACAGCGCCAGACTAGAAAGCAAGTGTACATCTCGCTGATAAGCGCACATCGGTAAGTATTCCATTTGCTTGTCGGCTTGTTTGCCAACTTGGCAACCTTTTTGTTTCAGCTTTTGCGTCCGAGTATGCTCATGTCATGTCAAAGTGGCATGCCTCAGATTGCATTTTGAGAAGTTTGAAGGCCCTCTTCAATGTGTTTTCCTTCACAGAGTCGCCTGTACCACGAAAGAGGCACTCATTTGGGAGGGAGGAATGGAGAGGGGTACATTGGTTCCCAGAGGTCCCCTTAGTTTTGTGCGTGGCAAACATCACCTGTCATGTTTGCAGCGGGCATTTAGCTGCACACGGCGCCATTTTTCTGCCTGAATCATGGCGAGCTGCCCTCGGGGGACGAGCTCACCATGAAGGTCCTGTACTTGAAGATCCCTCATTTCAGCCTTTGAACTGGGGATCCCTCGTTTGAGGCTTCGAACAAATGATTGCATAAAACTCGCACCCAAACCCATCCCCACCCCTCCCCACCCCTTCCCACCCCTCCCCACCCCTCCCCACCCCTCCCCACCCCCAGTGGACATGTAACTGCACCCGCGCGTTTTTTTCCTCGATGCCTTTGAGGTGGAGGTGCCGATCGTGCGGCACCGGCCGGTGCCGGTGCTCTCGCACACAACCAGGAAAGTGGACGTGCCCGGGGCTGAGAGAGCTTCGTTTCCCCGACGTGGGGCCTTCTGGGGCACTTCCTGGGCCAGTTTACGCGGGAAGTGAGTTTGGGACGCGTGTTTGTTCTGATTTCTCGTAGTTTACTCCCTGAGGCATGCCTAAATGTAGGTTCGAAAGTGACTCACAAACCCATTCTAGTGAATTATTTAGGACGTTACAAGTTATAGTAGCCAAAAGTGCTGAAGCGCTGTCTACTGCAGCGTTGACAGCAAAGCAGTACGGAAAGCATGGACTGCCAAATGGGAGCGCTGCCATGTCTGGACTGTCGGCTACTTGTCAACCCCCGTTTACATGCCGCTTGTCATAGACCCATGACCCGCAGATTCAGAGTTTCGACCATGGCACATGTGGATGTGCCTCTTTTTGAGGTACCCTTCTTTTGTGGTTGTTTGAATTAGGAGCCAAAAGGGAAAGCACCTTTGGGGTCCATGGAAAAACATCCAGGTGTCTTGGGCTGAGTCCGGACGAGTCCGCGAATCGGAGGCCCCAGGTGCAGCTTGTGGACCGGTTCGTGGATGTGCCCGTGCCAGCAGGGTGCTGAGGGCGAAGAAAAAGGGGGCAGTTCTGTGAAGAGAGTCCCTAAAGTGGGCGGCTCTTCGGGTTGTTTTCTTGAAACCGAAAGGGGGTGCCCTCAAAGACATGGCTGTGGGTCAAAACCAATGGTACCATTTTGGGATAGGTGCACCACCCATTTTAGTCTACTTTAGTGGCAATTGGGATGTTCACTGGAGGTACGGGGTTTTGACCCATGGCCACATGTGTCAAAAGCAGAACGTCTCGTGGCGGCTTTCGGCTTTCTATTTCGGTCTTCCTTTGATAGTTGCCACATGGCCACTTGGTTTTGACAAGTACACACACAGAGACGGACAGACATACAGACAGGCAGACAGGCAGATGCACACAGAGAGAGATGTTGGGGGGGAGGGGTCACAAGAATACAAAAGGGGCATCTCTGGGGTGGGGAGGTTTCTAGGCTGGTTTCAAAGGCGGGTGCTGGGTGCCGAAATCGGTTTGAACAAGACGTTTGGACAATGATTGTTGGCATCCGACTGATTTGAACAAAGGCTTCATGCGGGTTGTCAAATTTGATGGAAGGGTTGCCCAGCTTGCTACTGAGAGGAGTTTGTGCCGGATTAGTTCGGGTGCCATGCCCATTTCCCGATTCCCGCTGGACCCCTGTGCCTTTCTTGCAATTTCTTCTTCCAGCGCTGGCTGGAAACTCCAATTGTGTGAGATGCTTCATGTTCTTTCTGATGTTTCTGGCTGTGCCAAACACAGAAAACCTGGATGTAACTCCAATCCTCATTTCGAATCATGTGTGCCTGCATTGGCACAAACACCGTTGGCAATCATACGGTTGATTCCCAATAGTGCAAGTAGTCCGCCCGGAATACTTAGGTGGATATTACCGGCCACACACACATAGACACACCTGCAAATAATGCTCTTCAAAGGGTCCCCTGTTAAATTGTTAAACCTCACACGCAGGGTTTCTTTCCAAATGGGGAAGTGGCACGCAATGGATCGGGGGAGGATGCTCCGGGAAGCCTCACGATGCCTGAGGTGCACCGGCCCGTGCAACAGCTCCACAAGGTGCAGAAGAAGGCGGCTGAAAATCGGGGCGCCACCGATTTTCTCAGGGTTGAAGCAGGGTTGATGGAGATCATCAACAGCACTGCGAGACACCTGCGCACCTCGGGAGACCTTGAGTCAAACTCTGGGAGCGTGGTCGCACGGTACCGCAGGATTCGTTAGGAAGCTTGAGCCACAGGACGTGCTGCCTTCCTGCCTTCATGCTTGCCTTCCTGCCTGTCTGCCCCAAGTGCTATCAGATACCGACCGGTGTCCACTTCTGGAATGCCGTAGAACCCCACCACCCCTTTCAAGTCTCTTCACTTAGCGAAGAATTCAAACAAATCCTGCAAGTGGCACCACCGAAGCGGGCAATCCCGACAGCCCGGCTTCTGCCTGCGCGCCTGCCTGCTTGCCAAGTGAATGCCCGTTCCCCTTGTCGAATGTGTGCTTAGGCAAAGGAGCCCAGCCAAATACGACGGTTGGGTCACAATGCCGTACTCTGCCTCACAGTGTCAGTTTAAGTTCGACGGCAAGCCGGCCCGCAAATATATGCCAAAAGAGACATATAAAGCTGTGTTCACGAGTTCCTGGAAAAAGTATTGATATGCATGTGGCGGTGAACATCAACCTCTGCATGCGAGTTTGCAATAGTCGTCGGATGGGTGCCTCCCATGAGGTTGAACCAGTTGCTTCCGTGTCCGAACTAAAGCGCTTGACGGTTGATTATATTTTCAAGGTTGATATATGTGTCAAAGGGGCCCCCCAAAAGGTAGGTTCCCTTCAGGTGCCCTTGTAAGACTGGCGCAGGACAGGTCGTCGGGCACCCGAAAAGTGCTTCTAAGTTTCTCAGCCTGGAGCCTTGTCAAGCTCGTGAAGTAGTAGGGGTGCTTTCCAAAATGACATAAAACGAGAAGGGTTCTCTCTAAAGGGGCCAGCCCAAACCGGAGCTTGGTTTATTCACCTGAGTTTTCATTTGCCGAACACGGCCAGGTGGAAGTGCCGCAGGTGGTGACGGTCAGGAGACCGGCCGTTTGGTTGAGACATGCGAAAATGGGGACGAGGCGTGCATGTCACCATCAAACAGATGGCCAACCCACCTGTATTTGGATGTGTTAGTTTTGGCACAAGCCCAATCATGCCATTCCTGGTGAGCAACTCTGAAGTTTCAGGCATCAAATGATGTCAGGGCAAACCATTGAGCAATACAGCATCAGGCCTCCCATCAATTCTACTGTAGTTTGCAAAGGGGCATGTTAGGATTCAACATGCTGCTGGCTGTGGCAATCCACCCATCAGTGAGCCTCTGTGTAGTTTGCTTGCCTTGGGAAATCCACACCGAGAGAAATGTGAGAGCGCCCCGTTCGCCCGACGAAAGATGTTGGTCACTGTGTAAGGATTCTAAGTGCAGGCAAACGACCCATCTAGGAAATGACAGTAGGATACGCTAAGGTTTGAGTCTCGAGAGTTCGATTTGTTTGTCCCCTTGATTGGTTGACATGGATGTCATGACGAGGATATGTGCGCTTGTGTGAATTCTCCGGCCAACGTGCGCAGGCCTTGTTTTTTGCTCTAGGTTGCACCATTGATCAGGTTACCCTTATTTGGTGGTTTGGTTTGGTGGTTTGGGATTTGAACCCCTGGTTCTTGTAGGGGTAAATGGAAAACCCTCCTTAACCACCAAACCACATATCCAAATCACCAATTAGGGGGAAGCTGAATTGAGCGACCATTCGGGTCTAAGCTGGAAGCAGTCAGATGTGCTTTTCCATGATGTTCCGAAAGATAGATTCTCCCAAGCCTGGTGAACCCTTGTTCAGAACTCTGTGGCAGCTCAGACAAAGCATGAAAAGTGCTGCACAACTTGGAGATTGCCGCCACAAACCTCATGGGCTTGTGAGACCCCGCAACCCACGCAACCACCCAACCAACCAAGCCGTTTTACAGCGGCACAGAGCAGGCGTGTCTAAAACCGGGCCACGCGTTTGTACGAAGGGCTCCGCAATTCTTTAGTCTGGTGAAGCAGACACGGCGAGCACGCCTGCAAAGCCTGCTTCACAACAGAAGAGTTTGGGAAGAGGCCGCTAGCTTTTTGCGCGACACGTGCGGGAGCTGGTATGGGGGCGTCTTACTTTTGCACTCCAAAGCAAGAATCGGAGGTGTGTGTGCACAAGTCCCAAAAGCATTGCGAAGGGTTCTTCAGGAAAGATATGGCTGCGCGAATCAAGTTGTACAGGCAAGCTGCACGAGGAAGTTGCTCCAGTGCTTGAGCACAAGCAAGCTACAGCAGAGGTTGCTAGAGCAAATCCCACGAGGAAGATTGTGCAAGTCAAGTTGCACGGGCAAGATGCACAAGGAAGTTGCGCCAGTAAATGACACAAGCAAGTTGCATGAGAAATTGCTTGAGCAACTTACACAAGCAAGTTACATAGGTTGCTAGAGCAAGTTGCGCGAGGAGATTGCGCAAGTCAATTTGCACAAGGAGGTTGCGAGCAAGCTACACGAGAGATTGCTCGAGCAAGTTTCACAAGCAAGCTACATCAGAGGTTTGCAAAGCAAGTTGCACGAGCAAGTCGCATAAGAGATTGCTTGAGGAGACGTTTTGCGGCATTTGGCAGAGAAGTAATCTGGTGAATTCGCGCGTGAAAGAAGGAAAGGAACGCTCGACAAGGGAATCACTCTTCGAAGGACGCAGGCCTGCACCAACTTGTCGGATCGGGAAGTTGACCCTTTTTCGTGGATCAGCGTGGCTGAGGCTCAAAAAACCCCAGTGCCTGCTACTTCTGCGGCCCCCGCACGACCCTCTGCGTTTGCCTCTTGTTAACCTCCCCGCGCGACCCTCTGGGAGGATTGGCTTGGTCGACATGTAAGATCTGAGCGCATTTTCCACTTTTTAACAATCCGCGCAACCCTCGGCGGGATTTGGAGTGGTCGACGGGAACAAGCTGGGGAGTTGTCCTACTTTTCGCGGTGCGCGCGCGGCCCTCTGCGCTGATCGGCGTGGTCGGTTTAAAGACTGAGGGTTGTTCTTACCTTTTTTCCCTTTCCGCACGACCCTCTGCGGAGATCGGCGTGGTCACTGTCAACCTGGAAACCCATATGTGACGTTTTTTTCTGTCCATACGGCTTGGGCCACAAAAAAATGACCATACGGTTATTTGCGGCTTTTTGTCAACAATTTGTTGAAAAAATACGGGTTGCATACGGCCAAATACGGCCACCGGCCAGCAAAAAATGGCCATACGGGAAAAATGATCCAAATACGGGTTCCGTCCAAAAAAAAACGGCCATACGGCTTTCCAGGAAGAAAATGAGGATGAGGAGAAGCGCTATCTTTCGAGGTGTGCGCACCCTTCTGTAGAGATTGGTGTGGTGAGGGGGAATGCTACGTACCTTGTCAGGAACCGCCCTCGAAAGCTTGTTTCGTGGTTTGCGCTACCGCGGGTACCGCTCTTTGAGGCTTCAGACCCGAATCTCGCCTGGTCTGGCCAACTAGTGCGCGGAGTTAGAGATGTAAGGTGACGCTTCCGGATCGACCAATGGATGATGCTGCGATCGAGTGGGCTTGGCCCACTGGAAGTGTGTCGTCCGGCTTGAAAAGCCCAAGCTCAAGGCGTGAAAGTAGCATGCGACGCACTAGCGCAGCTGTGGCTCGAAGAAAGCAAGTACAGATGCGGTGCGCGAACTACACTTTCGAAGCTCGGGCTTGAGCATCGCAAATGTTCAGCGCGAAAGTAGCACGCGAAGTACTGCAATGGATTTGTCCGATAAAGTCGCCACAAGAGAACACGCAGAGCAAGCAGCGCGCGGCCTAAGACTAGCGTGCTCCAAGGCCGGCAGCAACCGCGGAGCCCTGCAAAATGCTTCACAAGTTGGATTTGTCCAGGTCACTAAGCGGAAGTGCCTGGTTTGGATGACCTCCCATGGCCATAATCAGCACCTTTGTTCTTCGGAATTAGGTCTTTGCCG